CCCGAGCTTGGAGCCAGTGCTCGGCCACCGGTCGCGCGGACCCTGTCGCTGTCTCCGCGGGGATCCCAGGCAGGCACGGGTCCCACCCACGCGTCCTCCTCTCGGTTCCCGCCGCCACCACAATTCCGGTTTTCTCTAACTGTCCTGGCGATCCAGACGGGGTGAGGGTGGGGGGTACGCCACTTTAAAGCTGGCCTCCTGCAGACCATAAACTGTTCTGTTTTGTTAAGGTGGCTATAAAAGGTGCAGTTGTGAGACTGGGTGTGCAGGCGAGTATCTGATTACGGACACACACACACACACACACACACACACACATATTACAGGCACTCCTATCGCTCTGGACAGTGGTTCTCAAGGTGTGATCTCCAGAACAGCAACATCGCCACCACCTAGGGGGACTTGTTAAAATGTCACCGAGGAGAAACTCGGTTGGGCCTGGCAACCAGTCTCCCAGCTGGCTCTCCGGTTGCTTCTGATGCAAGCTGAAGTTTGAGGACCATTGGACTAGGGCAAGGAAACCGGGCCACCAGGCTTAGGGCTACGATTATTCTCGGTTGCTACCAGACAGTGAACCCTGCTTTGGGTAACCCCAAATTCACTGGCAGCTTCGAGGGAACGACTTCCCGTCGCTCAGTCCAAAGCCAGGAGTTGCAGGAGACAAGCAGTCCCTTCTCCCAGGCTTGCAGTCCAAGGGAACAATTCTGCCGTTATTCCCGCCTGAAACACCACGCAGAGAGGAGTGGGAGGAGGAAGACAAGCAGAATCAGCCCCTGAAGCAACACTTACCCGTGCCATTTGCACTTTTCCTCTCCTATCTGTCACCGTGAACTGATGTGTAGCTCTCAGCAGAGGAGGCGAGAAGGTGACCAGACGTCTGGGCTTTCTGGATCATCTTTGGGTAGGACGTGAGAAGTCACTGTTCTTCTTGCTTGATGTCATTTACTAGCAGGAGCACCAAGGACATCTTCTGTGGAAAGTCTGTGCACGCAGGTTACACCAGCCTCTCCGCTTCCTGCCTCCTGGCCCTGGAGCTGCAGCTTCCCACCCCCTCCCACTACACACCCCCTCTTTAAATGGGCAGCTGATGGTAAAGTTCTAGGGAGTTTCTCCTCTGGGGCCAACACATTTTCCAAGATTCCCCAGCTGAAGTCCAGAAACAAAGCCCACACACCCTTGTTAGAAAACTTTAATCTGATTTTTCAAGGAATCTCCGGAATGATGTGTGTGTGTGTGTGTGTGTGTGTGTGTGTGTGTGTGTGAATGTGAATGAGGTACAGCAGACTGCATCTCTTTGCTGCCTCCCCCTCCCATAAAGGAACAAGGTATATAAGAGCCAGTTGGATCGTCCACTGCAATTTTATTTTAAATCATGACAGACAGATTGCGTGAAAAACAAGGAATTCCAAAGAATTTCCTGCTCTGGGAACAGAAGTTGTCTATATTTAACAACATTTGAAGCTGTCAAGAATGCTTTGTGGTTGGATAACAGAGGCAGAAAAATGTTAAAAACGCAGGCTACTGCTATACCCAAATATGGAAATATTGTTACGTCTGGTGTCTGATTCACCATCTGGAAATACTTACAACCATGAAGTCAAATAGAAAAGACGCCACAACAGAAGCCAGGAGCCCTCCTCTCCAGTCTCTTTCTCCAACACCTCCTCCCACCCTATATTGCGCCTACTCCATCCCCTTTCCTTCTCTAAGAAGGAAACAATGAAATGCTAAGGCAGGAAAAAAAAAGTTCTTTAATTAATAATTGATGAATTGGCTTGCAGTGGGAGGTAGGGCTCAGACTTTTCTCTCTTTATTTGCATAACACCTGACAATCCATTGTCTCAAAAAGTCCCCACCTCCAGAGAGCCCTACAGATCCCACTCCCTCTAGCAAATACCTCTCGGAGTTATGAAAGGGCACTTTTGAATGAATGAACTTAACTCTTTCCTGCAACAGTTCTCATTGGAGTGTTGTCATCCCACTAGCTTCTCACTGTGCTCAACAGAATCTCTCACAGGAAAGTCCACACTGAAGGCCTTTTAAAGCAAGCCTGCCTAAACTGTGAAGGCCAAACAGCCCTACATACTTTTTAAAAGTTATTATCCAAGAGAATATGCAGAAAGGAAGCCTGATACAATTTTTTAATTTAAATTACACAAGCTAGTTTTTAAAACATTCACGGAAAGTTCATCAATCACACTAATGGTGCTGGTGATCACACAATTTGCTTTGTGAGGACGCTTGTGTGTGACTTGTGGGTAGAAAGAGATCTTAAAATCTGTTAACATTTTTATTACTCTGTTACAGCCTAAATCCCCTTTCTACTTGGAGAGGAAGGCACTGCAGTTCACTTGAAATGGAGGGCTTCCAAGTGGTCCCAAGGAAAACAGTTAAAGACCCCGCAACATTTTCAACTTTAAGAAGTCTGCTTTTTTCCAGAGATTCCTCGGGCACAGTGGTACTGCTGGAATCTGTTTTGGCCTGGCAATATTCGCAGGTGATGATTTTGGGCCAAATCACTCCACGGTGGTCCCCTCAGCTCCTGGCTGGCTGCTCTGTTCCCATTGCTGCCTGCCCGCTGAGGGAGGCAGGGAGGGCTTACCCAGACTCCCGCATCCGTGAGGAAGTTTAAGTCACCCTCCCGGAGAACTCCCAGCGTTCGTTTCCTCTTGGACTTCCAGCCCAGGCAGTGGGCTGGAACTAAAGTGGGAACCTCCAAAAACAAACACGTGCAACATACCAAAAAGAGGAAGCGGGGGAGGGGGGAAGACCTCTGCCTGGGACTTTGCCAGACGATGAGGGAAGTTGAACCCCCCCATTCATAAATGCCACTGTGGGTATTAATTTGCAACGCACTTAACTTGGCTAATAAACATCGTGCCGAAGGTTTGGGATTTGATTCGATCGAGCCTGTTTGAAGTCCACAAACAGATTCCCGGCTCCGAGGCACAGTCTCTTTTCCGTGGACTCTCAATAGATAACCCGACTCTCACCTCGGCCGTAAACAGGCACACATCTCTTCGCTGTCCCGGGTGAGGGCTTCCGTGGCCGCCCGTCAACTGAGCATCTCCCAACAAAACGACTTTTATTCCTCCCTTTCAGGTCCTCCTCCCACTGTCCCAGTCCGGGCAAAGTTCTGACCGCCCCCCGCTCCCCTAACCCGCACAGCTAGGTCCCTTCCATCACCATCACAAACATCACGCCCACAAGATCCCTCCCCAGTGGAAGTCGTTATTTAAAGTGGAAAAAACGGACTGTTTTCTTGATGGGTCCCGGACACCCCCCCTCCAAGGTGCAGTGGAGCCAGAGGAGGCGCTTGGCAACAGCCCGCGCCAACCAACATTCCTGAGATGTTTGAGAATTCTGGAACGCGCAGACAGAGCCGACGTCACTGCAACACGCGGCGCCGCCACTAGCCCGTATAAAAGGCGGGCTCCGAGCTCCTGGGCAGACCGCGAGCGAGAGCGCCCCCGAGTAGCGCCCGCGCCTTGTGCTCCTCTCCGCTAGGACCGCGAGAGAA